AGAACATAGTCAAAGAAAGAGAGTTGACAGGTGTCACAAGATCGAGCTTTGAGGAATCCATGCTGAGCAACACTCAGTAAGTCATTCGCTGTTAAGTGACACATCATCTTATCCTTGATCAATGTCTCTAAGATCTTCGAAACTGAGTTCGTATTTTTCTAGAGAAAAGTTTCGAGACACTTAACGAATGGTTTTCAGTAAAGTGGACCTCTTCGGCTAGCTGTTTTTCTTCAGACAATCTCTTAGCCCACTCAAAAATGTCACAAATCAAGGGCAGAACAGAAACATCGTTCTGCAGATGGAAACGACAATAAAGTCTGCGCAATCTGCGACGAAAGGGTAAGGGTAGGAAAATCTCAACCCCAACATTAATAATTTTCTTACGGGGGACAAAACGAGAAATAAGCGGTTCCAAAATTTCGTACAGTTTTGCAGTGCAAACATTTACATCCGAACTAAGGAAGAACTCAGTCCAGTCGTAGGAATTAAGGTGTGTTAATAATTCGGTTGAGCGAGTTGATCGGAAATCGCGGAAAAAGTTATACTTTTGGGACAACATTTCGTCAGCCTTGATTTCCAACTTTGAAACAACTATGTCATGGTCTGAGCCCCCAAGTGGGCCTAGAGATGACACTGACGATGGCAAGCAGCCTCTACAGAAAATTAGGTCAAGTATACTTGAGTCTCATGTGGGAAAATCAACAACCTGATTCCACATCCCGACATCCACAGCCTCAAGAATGTCATCGAACCTTCTGGGGCCTGAAGGCGGAGACCAGCGGACTTCAGGGAGATTAAAGTCACCCGCAACTAGTTGATACTTAAAACTTAAGTCGGCCGCAGTATGAAATGCCTGTGAGAGTAAGCGATCAAAATTGTCATTGGCGTTGGGAGGGCGATAGACGCAGCCAACGAGTAAGGTGAACGTATTTTTTAGTGCAACCTGGAGCCAGCAGCTGCCTTCTACCGCTGAAAAGTGCGGGAGGTCCAACGGCAAACATGTAAGTGTTTGCTTAACGTAGACGCAGCTGCCCCCACCGCGGCTATCTTGGCGATCATTTCGAATGCAATTGTAGCCTAGAAGAGAGAGTTCGGAGTCAGCTACTGAGGCTGATGCCCACGTCTCAGTTACTAAAACAATATCAGGACAATGGACGAAAACCTGAGTCTGAAGCAAAGGCATCTTATTAAGCAAGGATCTGGCATTTAAAACAAAAAGTTTGAAGGGAAAGGCTGTTAGTTTTTGAGGGAGGTGGGCCACATCGTCCAGTTCTGGGTCGCCCACGGAGCAAACGGTCCGGATGCAACCATCCGGTTCTGCAAAAAATTTTGTGGCATCAAAAAATTCTGACGTGGATAAAAAAGGGGAGGACTTGGGGGAGGGAATGATGGGCAGGTAAACTGGTAACTATTGTTAGCTAACTTATTTTCAGCTGGAAATCCGTGGGGCAGATACTGCAACGTATTCCCGCCGGGACGAAACTGAGGATCGGATAAAATTAACTGATTCAGTATGGACATTATCATGAGGAATAAGTTGGTAAAACGGCCGTGATGGAAACAGGTTAGGGGGTGGGGGACGCATTGTTTCCATTGGAACAAGAGGTCTATTAAACGGTGGGAAAATCGGCAAATTCGGCCTAACTGCCTTGATATGAGGGCTGGGGGGCAGTTGCGAACCCGCTACGTTTTGAGTCGGGGTATTTGAGGCACTGTTCGCCGATTGTGGAGGAAAACATTTTATACTGGTGCTGGATTTATTGGGTGTCCGAGTGGCTGAGACAGCAATTGGATTTGCCTTTGACTAAGGCACATGCTTAGGCTTACTAGGGGTTGCTGAGGGAGTCGATAGAGGCGTGTTTATACCAGGCTTGGTGGTGTGTTTAAAGAGGTCAGCATTAAACCTTGCCCTTCCCTAACACGTGTTCCGCGAGTTAAATTCTGGAAAAGTAGTTTTTCTGCTGCCAATTCAAACAAATGTTTTCCGAATGTGTTTGTTGGACCCGAAACCGTCCAAGCTTGCCAGTCGATATTGGGGGCGTTAAAGTCCCCGACAATAAGGACGTCTCTGTTCGAGCAGGTCTTGTTCAGTTCCCTTAGGAGAAGGCTATCGTGTTCAGAAATCTGGTTTGGGGGACGATACACAACTGCAAACGCCAGCGGCCTGGCGTATTTACTGGAGATAGTTAAAGGTAAGAATTCCACTTCCGCTGTTGTTGTTGGATTATGCTCAGGGACCGCGGTTAGGTTGTAGCTAACATAGACAGCGACCCCTTCTCCTCGGCTTCTCCTGTCTCTTCTGAACAGTTGGTAGCCTCTGAGGGACACCTCGTGGTCTCCAATAGCTTCAGAAAGCCATGTTTCTGTCAAGGCGATGATATCTGGCGTGTGCTCGTCGATCAGAGTCCTGAGTTCATCCATCTTGTTAAACAGGCTCTGCACATTCGAATACAGCACCTTTAGTGTCCGTCTTCTCGGGGGAACTGGCCCTGATTTCAAAGGGGGTTAGCCACAGGAACGATCATTTGATCTGTATTATCTTGCCTTCCTTTATTTTCAACCCCTCCTCCCCCTCTTCTGTCCTTCTTTTCAGTTCTGTCCAGAGCTCCCTCATCTTGTGTCTTTCTGTCGGTTCGTAATCCGACTGAAAAAACATTTCCTTATGCGAATGACGAAGGGCCACCCTCCCTTCTAAGAGATGCAAGGCCTGGGCTTCATTTGCAAGAATAATTTTAAGAGGCCTTGGTAATGCACGCGATGCATCTGCGTTTCCTAGACGGAAAGCTTTGTGCACGGTAACACATTCTCCGTCCTGAAGGACGGCATTTGAATATGCTTGAAAGAGGTTGAGATCGTGTCCGATTCTTTCTTTTGCAGTTGGAGAATTGGACTCATGAGCTCCCTTTATGACGATGTTTCGTTTTCGGTAGAGATGCCTGTTTGGAAGAGAGCTCCTACGTTTATTTCTACACGCACGTTCAGAATTTCGCCAATTTCCGTTGTCATCGTTTGACTCAGAGGCAGCTGTGATGGCGTAGCTACCACACGGTTCCTCACCAACCGAGTCGTGCGATACATCCTTCGGCAGTGTGGTATTTGCTGGCATTGTGTGTGGACTCTGCTCTCTCGTACGAACAGCCTGACCTGCTTTTTCTTTTCGGGATGCCCCGGGGCGCTTCTGCTTTTCCTGAGATCCCTCTCTGTCGCTCTTTTCTTGCACAGGAGGTCGGTTCTCAGTTGTGATTTCTTCCTTAGACGGGCAGTCTTCTTCCTTGGCGGCTGATCCAGTTAATGATACTGTGCTTGAATATGTTCTCTTTGTTTTCTGAGGGTCTGATATCGCCGACTTTCTCTTTACGGGTGAATGACGAGGAAGTTTCGTCAACTTCTCCATCTCTATTTTTAGGTCTATTTTTAGATTTAAGTTCATGAACAGACTTTGTACAACGTATCTATACATCTTCGGGAATATGTATATCCTTTCGAAGCAACGGTTGCCAAGCCCGTGATGCATATTCCAGGCACTGCCACACAAAGGCCCATTTACCTTGTCAAAGACATCTGAATTCAAGTTGATAAACGTTCTTCATATCGCTCTCATGACTGACATTGTCCCCGCTGTGACTATATAACACTGTCTGGTGACACTTAGGTAGTCTTTGCTGAATACGCCGACGTACTTTTGCCTGTCTACGTTTTCCGGTGGTTGGTCGTCCAGGAGTTACTGTCCTGGATGCATTTGTTCGTGGCATCGCTGATACTATGTAGTGATAATATATAATGCGCATATATAACATCCTATAAGAGTTGGCCTGCGTTCCGTTCAATGCAATTCGAGAAGAAAATTCCAGGCGAGCTGATCGATTTCTAGAATACACGGAGCAATCAGGTTCGAGGGGAGGGGGCAGCCAGTGGCGAGGCTCTATCATAATGCTGACAAAGGGCTAACAGCGAGCTAAAGAAGGCTTACGTGACATATAGTGATTGGCTGACCTTTTTTGGAGCGTAGACACTGATTAAGTGTCTTAAGTGACCCTCGGAGCATGTTTTGATTTCAAGCTCTTTTAGTTGCGTTTTCCGTCGTCCTCGTAGTCAAGAGTCATTGACTAGACACCAAACTGAAACGTTTAAAGAGCACTCGGGTTGCTAAAATGACTTGAAGAAAAAGGTAGGTAGAAGGCCATGTTATATCACCTCATAGTACAATAAACTTCTTGACCTTTGCATGTAATGGTAGTGGCAAACTAACTTTCGTGAAGGAATTTATTTTGGTCGAAAATGTTTGACGCCACGGTTATAAAATTGAACAGACATCCCACCCGCTTCCAGTTGAGACCTCGGTACTGTAATAGCTTTGTTGCAAGCGCCCTAGTCTGTACGAACCTAGTAAGTAATGACTGATTTGCACTTTGCAATGTTTTTGTCAGGATATTCTTTTGATCAGATGGTTTTGCACCTAGCTTTTGAACGTAAGACCACCCGCCTCATTTTCGCCCCGATTGGTCTGCCACATAAGCACAATTAAGGGCGCCAACTTATTTTCGGGTTTTATTACTTAGTGAAGAATGTGTGCGCATCCACCACAAAATTCATTGTGGTGTCAAAAAGCCTTTGAGGTATGTTTACTTTGACTTGCGTTGCAGATTGTGGACAGCCGAGTAAAGAGAGGGGATACATGTTCTGCGTGCAGCGACTAATTCGGCAGGTCTAACTCCAAACAAAGACACAGTGGCGTTCGAGCTGACAGTGTAAAACTATCAAGAGTCCATAAAGTAAGATCGAAAGCGCAGATATATAGTCATTTCGGAGACTACAGCGGTAAGTCAGAATTTCCCAAACTCAGCAGAGGAAGATGCATTTGTAGTCTAAACATCTGTTGGTAGCTAAGTTACAAACGTTGTTTCTTTGTGTTTTGCATTCTGTAAATGTGCTAGTTGGGTGGATTTTATAGAAATTTGCATACGGCGACCCTTTCTTGTAATTTCTCTTTTCAGATCAGGGATGCGGCACACTGGTTTCTTCTTTTTTGATATGATGAATCTCCTGAGGAGATGCAAAAAATATTATTTGAAAATATCGTAGTCTTGGAGGTATACTCCAACTTGAGTGAAAAGCTCATTTTGTAAGCAGCGACTTCGCTCACCTAAGGTAAATTCACCTCAGCATATATTTCAAGCATTTCATTTATAACACAGAGCAAAGGGTAATAAATGTATTCGCATGAACATATCAAGTAGTTAAGGTTATCCTCTACCACCCTTCTAGTTGGAAGCAGTGCACAGCATTTATGCTTACAAGTGACCGTATTATTAGTTCTTACATCATTTCCACAAAATCCGGCGTACGGTGTATCCCATCAACTTCAGTTCAATCTCCCTTTTAAACAAAAATACCAAAACAAGAGTTGTAGTAGTCCCAAAAATGGTATTGAATGGAATCGTGATAGCAGAGTAACCCCGTCCCCGAAGCGCTACCGAGGATTACGGTGCTTAGGTTGATTACTAGCTTGTGGCGATCCTGACATGAAAGAAGTGGGATCTTCGAGGACAATAAATCACCGACAAAATCCTATGGTTCCACTTCTAGCTGAGGTAGCTCCACTTTCCTGTCACATCATTTATTATAATAATCACTGCTTTTTGTGGGTTCGAATTCCGACTCATACAGATGTGTTCGCAGAATGTGTTGTAGAATTCTGAGTTTTAATCTTTCGAGCTTATTTAAATTTGACGCGATAAGTCATATAAGAACATTGATTAGCCTTCTAAGCAGGCTTTGCTTATTGTAAGTCGTCTCAGAATGGGGACAAATTCATTAAGACAGTTGTCGGTGTCCCACTTGCCGAAGGTTTATCTAAGCTGTCAGATAGGCTTTAAGTTTTTTGTAACTATGGTTTCGCTAGGTTTGCCGGGATTTCCGAAGGTTCCGCGCGGCATTTTGAATTTTTGACGAACGATGCGTTCTTATCGTGGAAACTTATAAAACATAATTTTTGCAAAACAAAGAGTGCGTGCTAGACAAAATATGCCCCACATAACTGTTTTCAGAGCAGCTCGCGTTAAGCGATATTATGCTCCGTTCATCAGCTTTGCAACTTTCTTTCGGTTGACGTTTTTCGTATCAAGTTTGTTTATCCCATTTCTCATAGCGTACAGATCTAGTGGTAAGTTCGTTACCGGACATACCGTAGTGTACCTGCATTTTCCTCCTTTATGTGTTGTGCTTATTGCGTTTTTAAGCGGTTGCTGAAGGTCTTCAGGAGGTAATAAGTGTGTAATACTCCTTACAGATGCGCACACGCACCAGTCGCAACCGGAATTCTGTTTTTCCTTTCTGTGGCAAACCCATAGTTAGCCCTTTAGTTGCCCAGAACTAGCGCGGTCGCCCGGTCGCCCGGTTGCGGGCTAGTCTTACGATTGGCCGATTCTTTTTGACTTCTTTCGTGTGACTGGCATCGCATACGCACCGTCAGCCAATTAGATCACTATCTTTGCACTAGCCCGCAAATCAAAATGGGTAAGCAAGTAGACATTTGCTAGCCATGGGCGTCTAAATGTTATCAAGGGCTGAGGATTAGTATCTGTATCGCTATTTATGTGCTGTAAGAGTTAAGTCCGCGAAGTTAATACTGCATACTGAGATACATCAGTTGAAATCCAATCCTCATGTGTTCCATCCCAATTATCACGTACGTAGCCACGTACGGGCCACGTGGCCCCTACTGAAGATCTGTAGTAGGTGTTTACAGTCCGGAAACGGGTAGGTGCTTTTAGCACTTCTGACCATCAACAGCACGTATTAAAAATCAGGTCAAGCGCGTGTCCGCCAGGTTGGCAGCTGGACAGAACCTAAATCTGGCACAATATGCAGAAACAGCCCGAGGATAAATGGAACCCTGGTGTACAATGCCTAACTGCACGAATAAGAAAACCTTTCTGTACTTTTATTGCAGCTTGTGGCTTTAATTGCCCCAACGGAGTAAACATACTTTTTACAAAGGCGTGACAGTCAAAGAAAGATAAGGCACACAAGAGGTCCGTATTTGCGTTATCAGTTAGTATTTTTAAGAACCTCTAGTTTCGGGACTAACTGGTTTTGCCTTCCTCTACACCCACACGATATATTTCCTATCTATGATTATGTACTCGGGGAGTTCATGCAATTGTACTGAAAGAATAAATCATAATCAATATTATACGAATAGATATATCGTGAACTATCTCGAAAATTTTAAAATAACCAGTAAACGTGTCTGTGCTAGGGCGTTAGCAATTTGATATGTTACGATTTATGTGACAGAGGAACGGAGAGCTCAGCTTCCAAGTTGTTTTACACCAAACTTTCCATAGATTACGCATTTGCGTAGTATTCCAGTTTTGACTGAAAAAAGTGTAGACAGTGGGTAAGTTTGTTTGGAAGTATTTAAGAACTGCAGTGTTTTTCGCTAAACTAGGTCCTGAGATTCTCTCCGAGACAGAACATCTAAATGGAGCCTTAATTAACCTCCTAATTGGCAAATAAATAGGAGCGCGATATTATTATCTTCTTTAGTCTTTCCGGAAGAACAGTGCGCTCGTTAAAAATACCTTACTTTGGAGCCAAATGCAGAAATCAAAATGTATTTGACTCTAATTTTAACGTGTAGACCAAGGTCATCCAGCAGCTCAATATCTAGATGTTCTTTGCCTTAGTTAATTGGTAAGCCGCATCGAATGCTTAAACACTGCGCATCTTACGAGTAGCAATTCGAAGATCGAAGATCCCATCCAGGCGACACTATTTGGCAAACGTGTAAGGATTTGTTTTCGGGCAAACATTAATAATCTAAGCCACTGAAAAAGGTTTTCAACCCGGTGTTTAAACTACTTTGAGTACGTAGTACATTCGGTTTATCATTTCATCTAGTTATAATATTGAGCTTTATACATAGTCATAATCTAGATTTTTGCACGTTTTTAGATAACAACTGCTCAACGCTCCAGGGAATCTGAGATATTGGCCATCTTTAACCACTTTTATGTCAGTTCACGTCTGACTTTAACTTATGCATCGTATAGCGAGGCAGTCCATTATAAATTTTTGAGACAGGCTAAGTCTTATAATATTTTCACGGTTTAAACATGCCTTAGATTTGCACTTAAAGGTGGCATTTGAAATAATTCCGCAATACCTGAGTGTACTTGGAAGATATACCATTTTCAAAGTTAGAGTTTGAATTGTATGCGTATGTGCGCATTTTTAGGAAAAAATATTTGGGCACTTTTGCACCTTTCGAGCGCTATCGTAAAACGACGATGCTTCTTAATTATTTCCTTTGTATGGACATAAAGCCTTGACAAAACACGACGTATTGAAAAGGTAGATCTTCTGAACAATTTTAGATCAATGCATACATCAAGTGTGTCGGAGTTTAAGAAGTCGACCGAATAAAATTTTTAACGTACCAATCTTAATACTCCATGCCTCAACAACTGGCCGCCGGATTTGCCGATGCAGGTGTAGTGCATAGCCAAACTGTTTGCAAAATGTTGAGTCATGTTGCACCCAAGTGCCGATGCAGACATCAATTCTTACCCTTCTGCGACAACAAAATGCAAAACTGGTGGAAAAGTATTTTGCTGTTATGCTCTTCAAGGCTGAGTAATATATTTTACGCTAATAAAACCTTCGAATATGCGACTGCAATTTGGAGCCATCTGTATTTCGGTTAAAAGTTTGAATGTAAGAAGGTTTTATGGGCACAAACACCAGTTTGTTGAAAGGTTTTCTTTATAATGGGCCACGTACAACAATACCTAGTCTGCTGTGCAGTATCTTAATATTGTGACCGATCAGTGGAGAGCAATTGGACTGGTTCGAACACTGCCCATCATGATTGTTGATCGTACTAGGCATTGAAAGTGCTGACTGACTCCCTCCAGGTAGCGTAACTTACGACTGAGACAGGAAAAAAACTATACTACTTTCTAGTAAAGAAACAACAATCTGTTTAGAATCCATTGCAAACGTACCACCTTCTTTTAGGATTCTGGTTGACAAGAATTATATCCTTTGAGCAGCCATTTTTCAAGTCTACTCGGGAAATCTACTTTGAGGCCCACGGTGTTGACCAAACCTACAGTTGGAGCACGATCCCTGGACTGAATCCACAGCTAACTAGTTCTCTAACAATTCCCGCTCTTTCCTTTGTCGAGTTTGATGACAACAATGATGGTATCTTGGACCGCTGCAATCTCGTCTTCTCGCTTCCTGTCACTGACACCTTCAGTATGGTTTATCTGGTCGTTGTTATTTCTCAAACGAAGGACGTAAGACTCTTGGTCATTATGTTCTAAAATCTGCCGCGTTCCTCATGGTAGAATTCTGTCAGCCGCCTTCCCCTTATGGTTGAACTCAGATCCTCTGGTGGAATTGGAACAAAGGATGTTTGGCTGACCAGCCAAATCTCTGTGCTTACACAGCCGGCCTTGAAACAGAAGCCTGCCGTAAGTGATAAGGGCATGTAGTTTACAAACTGATCACAGTTGCAATATGCACTGAGCCCTTGCCAGGATCAGAATATTTGTAGACAATAGAACGGACTTCATTAATAGAAAACCCTAATTACGGGTATAACAATTCATTTTAAATTTTCTTCGGTATGTTATGGCTTATATGAAAGTTTTGGTATCTATTCAACATAATAAATAATAGGCTTTTGTGGTATCCAACAGCTCTTGTACAGACGACTAATAATAGTCTTTTATTCCTCGCAGTTTTTACATGAGCGCGTCATATGGAACATTTACATTCTGATTTAGGGATTCTTTACTCTTGGATGAATTAATACGTTAGATATGCACGCGTCCTCTTAGTCGATTATACTTCGTATCTGCCAAAAAACTTGGCTGGTTTCTGAGAGGCAAAATAAAATTATGCCTATTGCCGAAATGACACCCCGTAGGGACTGATACATGTCCTCTGCTCTTCTTTGGAGTGGAAACTTGCGATGTAATTTCATTGTTTCAAAATAATTGCACGAACTTACCTGGGGAGCTGTGAATCCTCGATCGTGACCAAAAATGGACTGGATACCCCCGTAGAGAGGTCACATGTATGGCATTTGTACCGACAGGATTGCCTTGTTAGTTCCTGGGTAGTCACCATCTGTCTTTCGTGTCCTATGCCCTGCTCACATGGTTGCACGATCTTAGCTTCAGGCACTTGTTGGCAATTTCGAAGAAGGCGATTCAAGATGGGTGCGATCACCTTTTTAAAGCGAACTGTCATGACTTCAATTCACAATTTTTAACGCATCATTTGGTTTGCGAGTGCGAAGTAAAGTATCACAGTTTCCTTCCGGCAACTGTTCCCACCTACTAAGTCTTTTTTAAACTTAGATCGAGAGATTCGTTGAGGTAAGCAGGACCAGAAAAGCACGTTTATGCGTTTCTAGACTCCGATTAAAAAATGGCCTATACCATCCATTTATTGCAATGACCTACATTTGGTTTCTTTCAGACAGAAATGTTAGAGTTCGGTTCAACGTATATATCGGATTTTTATCCCGAATTCATGAGGAAATACCTGGCCAAGGAACCCAGTGAGTGTTCCTTTTAACACGCCTTGATTGTATCCAGTTATATTTTTTTGCTAACCCTAAATTTATTCCATTTGGACGATAAACTAACTTGTGTAATCCCTCAGTAAAATATCGCCATTGGGATTTTAGAACGTATTTGGTAGAATGGGAGAACTTACGAACTACGTTGCGTACAGGCGACTGATCAAGAAATTTCCTTTGACTTAAGCAGTTTAATGGTCGGAGAGTAGAAATAACCTTGTATGCTGCATCGACCGTAAAATCGAGCAAGTTAAGTTTTGCGACCATGTCTTCTGTTGACAAGCAAAAATCACAGTTTCTCTGGTGTTGACTACGTTCCCTTTTATGTGTTTGGCCTTCAGGCCGAGATAAGCTGCAATTTTTTAAGGCTTAAGATTTACTTTCTGGCAGGCTATAGCCATTCAGTAAAGTCTTGCAGTCGGAAATGAGCTGCTAACACAGGGTTTCGGAAAAGACCCCAGTCCCTTATTTCGCACTTGGACACTTTACCTACTAAGCCGTAGCGGCAACGTCCTAACTCATCACTTGTGCCTAATTTGGTTTCGATAATGCTTCAGTTGACCGGCACCGGTGGCGTGCGACGCGAATTTGCGTGCGTATGGCACGCTCAGACGGGCTGCTTCCAGGTCTGTCGGTCACCCTTCTCAGTCTCAGCACCAGTGGAAGGACTGGCATGGACAATGGACTGGTGTCTAGGAATGGGAGGAGGTAGTGAAGTCGATGGTCCCATCTCATGTTGTTCAATATAAATAATTAGACGCGCCTAACACTCTCACGATGGGTCAAAAGCCGTGGCTTCGAAGGCTGCCAATTGGTAGAATAATTCGGTCCTCACAGTCAGCCCAATATGTACCTCTACGGAGTGACTGACCGGTGGACCAAGAATCAGACTATATTGCCTTCTTTCTTCTGTGGGTACGAAAACTGACTTCCAAAAGTCCAAGAACCACCTTCATGCCTTGCCGGAAAGGTCTACTTAGGTTTTGAGATGAGATTATTTACATCAGCTCTAGCTGGGCAGTGATGACGGATTCTAGGTAGCATCACAGCACTCGCAGGCCGGCCCAAACTATCTCGGTTCTTGTATCCCCTGCGATTCCCACGTGCTGCTGTAGTAGCGAGCATGCACCGTTTCATTCGAGACGAATTCATCGTACCTAACTCAGGAAATTTACCTTAGACCTGGTGATCAAAGATCTCATGCTTTCACCCCTTGTCCACGCGGGTAATCTGACATCGCAATCGTAATGAGGGAATGACTCGGAGGATGCCCGCTACATGCCGAGCTTGGTGGCAGTTAAACTATCCTGCCGGATCCGTAGACGCATCTCTCCGGCCTGATCGCCAATTTTGGCGGCGATATCGTCCTTATAACTGAGGCTAATAAATGAAGTCAGTGAAATCTGAAATATAACAATCCTATGTCTGTTCGTAGTGGTGAAATTTGAAGATAATAGTCCTACAGTCAGTAGTTAACAGTAACGAGGGGAATTCGGTCATTGAAGATGAGCTCTATTCTCACGACTTCTCAGACCGACACTCGAACTCGTCACCTGAGGCAGAGATAAACAGAGACATCTAGCGACTGCAGCACTAAAAAGGTTCAGTCCCTGCGTGGCTGCATACCAATCAGAAGACAGGCCGCGCGGCCGCGGTCGTCAAGCAAAGTCCTGAGGAACAGGGCATTGAAGACATTTGCACGCCATTTACTGAGGCGGGCAATGAAGTCTGGGCGGCTGCCCACCCCGACGGCCGACCACGCAATTATCACGCTAACCGTGAACATCCGTCCTGAAGATGCGGTCAGCGGACGACCCCGGACTATACATACTTCATCTTTCAGATGCCCTTCTACTTGGTTTACGCTGAAAGATTCGTCCATACGCCAAACAGAGAGATTTCTCTTTTTATTAAGTCTGGCGCGCTTGCATCAATCCCGACGCGCTAATAATCGTGGCCTGAAAGTCCGCCAATTGATGAAATAAGCCCGTCCCTCTTAGGAGTGAGCTGGACTGCAATAGCTCCTTTTCGTTGGGGCAGTTGTAGTGTTATCACTGATCTGAGATCCGAGCCGTCCTTACAGAAGCCTGGCACATGCGTGGCACGCGTAGAAGGACTGTACACTGCGTCGGAGGCCACCTCCGATCGACTTGGCATTGTCTTACCATCGAGACAGTGTGATGGAGGTAAGAGAGAGAGGCGGTGAGTTAGGCACTGCGAAAGTCTGCTCAAGTCATCAGTGCGGCGCCCACTGCGAGGTAGGCGGTGGACGTCGTCTTGAAGAAGAAGACACGATCGCTGGGACAAGAGCTTTATTAGCCTGACGTTTCGGATTCCTGCTCGAACCCATCATCAGAGATAACAGCAGATACGCGTGGTTCTTGCATAAGGGGCTGCAGTATTTATAGGATGCAAGCGTCATGCTACCGCATACCTATGAATATTCACGCCCCCCCCCCCTCATCAGGGATCGTTGCACTTGGTGTGCTAATTGCTTGATGGCCGACACTCGCGTCGTTAATTGCTGGAATCTCATTCTGTGCGTTTGATGTTGGTGTGATGATTGCTCGACCATCTGATCCACCGACACTGGTGTCGGGAAAGGTGTTCACTTGTGCGCGTGACTAATTACTCCGCCTAGGCGAAGTCTCAGCACCGAGTATGGAAGGGGAAGTTCGTTGCACTTGCTTATGGACTGGGCGCCAGTAAACCATGACTCAAACAGCTCCCGGCTCACGCGGTTGTCACCTCTAGAGAGAATTTCGGCCTCGTCGAATTTGAATGTGTGGCCGGATCTCGTCGAATGAGCCACAACTTGAGAGCTGATGTCATTTCTCCGCACCGCTGCAGCGTGTTCGGAAATTCGCGTTCGGAGCTGTCTTCTGGTTTCGCCGACGTAGTTGCTTTGTCCGCAACTGCACCAGATCCGATAAACGACTCCAGACGTTTTTAGCCGTGGCAGCGGGTCTTTCGGTTTCATTACCTGACGCCTGATGGTTGCCTCCGGTCTGTGTGCAACTCCAACCCCAAGTGGTGCGAGAAGGCGGCCGACAGCTTCCGAAACGTTTTTGACACACGGAAGCGCCCGCCAAGATTTGGTGTGCGTGGACGTCGTCGCTCATGACAGTTGAACTGTCGTGTGCATATTTTGCACGAGGGAAGGCTTACGACCTCCTGAATGTGTCGATTATTAGAAACCAACAATAAAACGTCAGTGATGCTACTGGCCACACTCAGCGACGCCCATGATACCCCGACGACAATGCGTGTACGCACATTACCGGCCGTCAGGCAGCGGCCAGAATGTGAAACACACACTCCTGTATTTGCCTACTCTACCCTCAAGATCCTCTATAGTAATGGCCACTAACGTTGTGTGTAGTCGGTTCTCTAATGGAGCTTAGTGTTTTTAACTTTTCCTCTAGAAAATCTCTGAATACGCAAGTAGGTGATGTCCACTATGCGCTGGACAGTTTTTTTTCATGATCAATCATTGGCTCTCTTCTAATGTCGAGGCCGCATATTCACCAAGGACTTCATTTTTAGCTGTTCTCAAAATTCAGCCGGATCTGGCAGTTTGGAGTCCCGGCTATTCGAGCCCAGACGATCCATTCATCGCGAATATCACCCTTCTCTACAAGTCTGTGCGTGTGGAGTAAGTTTAAAGTGTTTATTACGTCTTCTGCTCAAGCAGTACGTCTGACTTTGAGCATCTGGTTTGGCAGATTTGTCGTGATGAGACGCTGACGTGAGAGATCCCAGATTCCCAGAGCGCAAGTCGGCAAAAACAGATTCGTTTGGGAAAGTTTTACTGTTGTGAAAGAGACTCAGCAAGCAGTTTTCTCAAGCTGTCTCTTTAGGTCTGTTGTATCATCGGTTTCCGTCGTTGAGTTTATTGCCCCCCCAGCGTGTGTGTGCGCGTGGCTCAGTTGTGTCCGCCTGCACCCATTTAGCGAAGGAGAAAGCCCGATTGGCTTTCGGCTCTCGCAAGCCCAGTGACAATCCTCACACGGCCCTAGCAACGAGTCGACAGAGCAGCGTGAAAAAGCGGCGGCGACCAAGTGAGCGAACAGTCAGACTTTTGAGCTTTTCAAGGGCCCGCCACAAGAAGACATCGTCGCATGACTGGAAAGTCACTTAATACGACGAAGGCTCGTGCTCACCACCGTGCCGGCATTGTAACGATGTCCAGTGCTCTCTGATATCTGGCTTTATCTCAGGAGTCTAAAGACACAGCATCTGGCCCATCTCGGAAAGTATTAACCGGAATTCTGAAAAGCGTTTTCCATTAGGAGAGGTTGCCTACTTTTGATCATGACGTAGTATAATTTCAAAATATTTAAAGTACGCTGAGATACCCGATTTTCATTGAGTTTCTTCCCGTCCACCTGCAACAACCACACTCGATACAAGATGGCTACTTCAGTAGTATGGATTTTTCAATCAACTTTCAATGCCCCTATAAATGTAAGTGCTGTAGAAGAAATAGACAAAAGTATTCTTTTTTGCACTTATTTGGCAGATAATTACGTTTTCTTCAAATTTTTTGATCAAAGAAAGGGTATCAGTAGGTTTAAAAAGAATTCAATTCCTGAATAATTTTAAACTCAATCGGCAGCTGCCATATATAGACTCTTTTAAAACCGAAAGATACCCTTTCGTCAAGTAAAAAATTTGGAGACGTAATTTTCTACCAAATGTATAACAGAAAGATTTTTCGGCCTGCCTTCCATAAATTTTATTTTAATAAATAGAGTGAATTTTTTGGTACCAATAAATCCTGCCCTTCTTGCCTACTTCAGCTTCGTACCGGGGACAAAATTCTGCAGGGGCAAAAAATCATACTACCTTTTTATTAAGTGTGTGCATGTGACCGGAGGGATACTCAGGCAAAAGCCGTCATCGAAGTAGTGAATTAAAAGATACGGACAAGTAGATAATTATGCTGTAGCTCGGGTTTAGGGAGGGGGAGAGTGAAACACCACAATTCCAGTCAGCGCCAGGGAGGTGGGTCCCTGAGAAGGCAATTACATGTGGGTGGTTGGTTTGGTGGCTTTGAACCATGGCAACTGTGGTACCTGCATGAAGTCCTGTGCACATAGGACCCGTCCATGTAGCCCGATTGCAGCTGCCTCTGCCGTAGCCAACAAGCGCTGCCAAGTAGTTTCGGATAGCTCGACGGGACCTTGTAAATCCCTCTGAAGACCTCTCTGGCGTCTACACAGTGGTCTGTGTCTATCATGTGCGCGAGAATCGAGCTGTTGATGTTCCTTCTTGGACCCTTTCCTAACCATTCTGGCAGATGTTCTTTTATTCTTTTGGATAAGCGCCGGATCGCGCGACCAATACATTCTGCCCCACAGGAGCAGGTGAAAGAGTAAATACACATAGAGGTGGTCTGAGCTGGTAGTTTGTCCTTACCCTCTCCGCATAGGATGGTTTCCTAAAGCCACCGCGATTTGATGTTCCTTTCACTTAAAATTTTTTACACGAAAACATGTCTTATTTTCATTCTTCCCACTGGTTTTTTTCCGCTCGTCCTGACTAGCCACCTTCCCCAGGTCGGTGTAGAAGGGAGTTCTGCAGATGCTGCAAAAGTCCCACAACTTACCGTCCATGCACTAACCGTGTTTTGCGGCTCACAGTGGACATCGTCATTCACGACGGTCGAACTGAAGTTTGGGCGGCGATGATGAAAATGCAGCGCCTTTTGCCGTGCACCCCATCCGTTTCTGCATGATCACGCAGTGACACCATGCTGATGGCTGCATTTGCGATTCGGCTTGCTCAGAGTACTCATTCCGACCGCTATCCTCAGTCGGCGTACTGCGGTGTTAGTGATCAGAGAAGTTACAGGCGCAGCAAGCATCCTCATAAGACAGAAGTGTTACTGACACGATTTAGGTAGTGTCGCTTGTCTACTAAAAGTCCCGAGGGTCTCGAGATGGAAGGGGGCACCCACGCGTCTTCTGAAGGCGATAATTCCGGAACCCTCATAGCTGTGATTCCTCTGGTAGATAAAATTAATTTCTACTTGGCCTGCAGTACTCATTGGTTTCGCATTATTTTACTTAGGAGACCCGCCAGTTTTTGGCAGCAGATACTCTATGGATGGATTCAGTACCTGCCTCTCCTAATCTTCTGTCTCTACGTGTCAGATCAAATCCAGAACTTTGCCTTCTCGAATTACTTCTTCGACAATTGCTTGGTCAAGTCGGGTTAATCAAGCTGTATCTAATCGAATCGCTGCAGTCATCGGAGTCTCTTTTTTACAAATAAAACGCAATGAGCACCTCTGTGTTCTCGATCATCATAAACTTACACTCCCATCTCTCCCTACAGGTAATGCCACCTGACCGATCCTCAAGGTTGACTGAGGCCGAGGGTTTAGATAATTCTTTTTCAGAAGAGAGAGTGGCGAGTGAACGTTCCTTTCGGTAAATTCTCATCAGGCCAATACAATTACATAGGGCGGGGTAGAGTGAGTGAAACAAAAATCGATAAAAGTTAGGTTTTAAATTACAGGCTCGGCAAGAGCGGAAGGGCGCCGAAAGTTGCATGTGGTTAGTCAACCTTTGACCACGGTAAGCGCGGAGCCTGAACCAGGTTCTTTTGGGCGCATAGGGTCGGTTTTCGTAACCTTATGGCGGCCGCTTCTGCTGTTGCTAGCAGGCGCTGGCCCAGTAGCTTAGGGTAGCTCGAAGGGACCTTGTAAATCACACGAAATGCTTCGGTGGGGTCCACACGATGCCCTGAGTCCACTGCATGCGCAAGGATGGCGCTGTCTATTCTCCTAGTTTCACCCTTTGCCAGCCATGCGGGAAGGTGCTAGCAACAGCAGAAGCGGCCGCCATAAGGTTACGAAAACCGACCCTATGCGCCCAAAAGAACCTGGTTCAGGCTCCGCGCTTACCGTGGTCAAAGGTTGACTAACCACATGCAACTTTCGGCGCCCTTCCGCTCTTGCCGAGCCTGTAATTTAAAACCTAACTTTTATCGATTTTTGTTTCACTCACTCTACCCCGCCCTATGTAATTGTATTGGCCTGATGAGAATTTACCGAAAGGAACGTTCACTCGCCACTCTCTCTTCTGAATATAGTGATGGGGATTTTCATACATATAATTCTTTTTGCTTTAGACTCGATGATGTCAGATGCCTCTGACCGGCTAAAACGCCCTCACGAGCAGATGCCTGCTAGTATTGGAGCCCAACAGTCATAAACCACGAAAACGAGAGCTACTGAATAAGTCAGCAACCCAAAAGGTGTTTCCTGAATAGTCATGTACTTGTCAATTTACCGAGTAGCTTATGCCCGTCTTTATCTAGAAGATTTCGTGCTTAAATGCTTCTCCGATAGCCGGGTGTTCGGCTCCATTCCAGGCTCATCGCATAGCGCAGCTACATTAGGTGGGCTAATTCATGAAATGTCATCCGAAATTCCGAAATGCGTTTTCGTTTAGAAAAGAATAATTACGTAGGGTTGTAAAACTAATCAGCCTGCAGTATAATTCTATGATAATGCAGTTACCCTAAGATGCCGGCTTTCGAACGAACTTCTTTCCGAATGCATGCAAAAACTTTGGCCTGAAAAATATGACTACTTATGTAGCATGCATTTTTTCATTGATTTTCGATGCCCATAAAAATTCAATTATCTCTCAGGGAAAACATGCATCCTTTTGATCATTCGGTAGAAAATTACGTCTCCTACCAAGGTTATACTCAGAGGAAGGGTATAATTCGGGTTCCAAAGAAGTTTACAATTTTTTAATAATTTTGGACCCGACTTGCCGTTACACTTGCATTCAGGGTTTCAAAACTACAAGCCGTATATTTTCCGCGTACGGAAAACCTGACATTTCTCTACGGTATTAAGAGAAGATTATATGGGGTTCATAAGATTTAGCATTGGATTTGATCCATATTGTTAACTTTACATGCCACATTAGTGAATGCGGAGACATGACGTTTTATGAACGGCCGTTTCACGGTATTAAAAAGTCTCACATTTAGAGGCTTTTTTAAAACCGAATTATGTCCGAATTATACTCTTCCTTTGAGTAAAAATTATAAGATGTAAAGTCCTACCGAATGAGTAAAAGAATGAATATTTTAATGTATGTTTTCCATGGGAGATATTCTAAATTTAAAGGGCATCGGAAATGAAAGAGGAAAATGCATGCTATATCAGTAGTCCTTTTTTACGGAGCGTAGTTTTTGCATGCAGTCGGAAAAAAGTTCATTCAAAAGCCAGCATAGTGAGGTAACTGGATTATTATAGAATTACGCTGCATGATGATTATTTTTGTAACCCAACTTAATTAATCTTCTCGAAACGAAAATGCAATTCGTAATTTCGGTTGACAATTCATGCGTTAGCCCACCTACTGTAATTTTCAGGACACTAAGAAATACACATAAAAATTGTGAACTACACAACTACATCACGATACAGGAAGGTAAAATTTAATTCCGAGAAATAAGTAGCATGTAGAAAACGCGAAATAAAACCGGCGGCAGCCGAAAAGGAAAGCAGTGAGATTGAGCATAAAGTAAAGGATCAAATAGACAGTGGGCGAGTGATGAAGAAGACAAATACATTGGCCAAATGCAGTTCACAGCTAGGCGTTCTTCGGCGGGTCGGTGGTAAGGTTGTCAGATATACTGGAATTCAGTCCGTTTCCAGCCAGCTCCAACGCCCAGGGGCGAGAGCGATCAGCCTTGTACAGCTTCATGATAACAACGCCGTCTTGGATCTGCAAGAAAAACGTGTGAGGGTGGAATAAGTACAGGCCAACCTGACTGAGGTCTCGTCGAAGATTGGCGCGAGGCCGAGAAACACACCAGAACGCAAAGTTTTCGTGTGAAAAATATCGAAGATGTACCGGAAAGGGCAGAAGAAATTAAGATAGCAGTCGTCACGCCTGGGTGGCGGGGGGGGATTTATCAGCCTGGATTGAGGACTCCTGAAGGGTGGTAAGGCAAGGCAAACGATGCTAGGGCCGACTTAACCCAAACCAAATAAACTTCCGAGTACTGAAAAGGAGTAATTGGAATCAATCATGTGACGGAAATAATTGTGAATTTTAAATATTCACATTAGCCACCCGGGGCTGTGTGCAAACTATCAGCTAGTTGAACTTCACCGTATCCCAGAAAGCCAAAAAAACACCCAGATGCATCATTGTTAGGAGTCGTTTGGGGAAAATGAGACTTAATCAGGAAAAGCCGGCGGCCACAGTGGGGAGGTTAACCGACCGACTTCACAACGAAGCACACCTCGGGATGCTCCGGGTCGGAGACAACCACAGGACCCACGGGCAATTTTACGAGGAAAAAGAAGCGCTCACCGGATCGAGGGAATTGTCTTGCTGACGTTTCGATTAGCTTGGCCGGCTCTCCATTATCAAAGCGTTCAGTGCGAAGATCGATCAGAATTTTGAACAGACAGCCGAATTAGTCGGCCTTGGGCTGATCGATTTTTTCTTCATTCGCTGCTTTGACCTACTAGCTGTCGTTTGTGATTTTTGGTGGGCTCCTGTGTTATGTGTAGTCACCTCAATTGGGGTTAACTGCGTTTGTGCCCCCTTTTGGATGAATTAGTCGACGGGCAGTGTTTGCTCGGTATTCTTAAGTTCCGTATGACTGTATGTAGTGAAGTAGGACTTTATAGGCCGCAGGAAGGTCTAGATGCCTGTTGATGGAGTTTGCATCTGAGTACCAAGCCTCAAGTGTGAGACGTTCTGTCCTCGAGGTGCCCCGGCCTAAGACGGCAGCGCCTTGGAAGTCAAAACTGTGGCCAGTCTCTCCGATGTGAGTCGCAAGCTGTGAGTTCGGGTCCAGCCTTCGAGTTGCCAGTTTGCGCTCATGTAGGCGGGTCTGCAATTTCCACCCGGTTTCCCCAACGTATTTGCAGTCTCCATCGTTACAGTTCCCTTGATCCAGTGAGCACTCTTTTTTCCTCGGATCTCTTACGTTTGCTAACCTGGGCAATTTTCTGTTCGATGATAAGGACGAAGGACCAAAGCCCGAAGTAGGAGAAGTTATTCGTATACCGGCTACATTACGCCGGGCAACTGAAAAGTACAATATTCAGAAAAGCCACCAGCACAAGGCAAGTACTATACTTCAACAGTAATTGCCCTCTGTAACACAAATATGGCTGTGTTCGGACTCTATTCGAAAGAGTTGAAGCACGTTTCAGCGTGCCGGCTGACAAGAGGGCTGAACGACAAAACCTTCCCGGTCATAGAGTGCTCAGGCTATTTTATCAAGCAAAGAGAGCACCGAGTGGACAGATGGCGACCAGATGAGCGGCAACCCGAAGGCTGGAGGGCCATTTCCTACATGAAAGAATTCTCGAGGCGGTCTCTCGACCGGAGAAGGTCTCTCGCCGGAGAAGGCATTGCCCATCGACCTAAGGACAGACTGCCACCTACCTAGACCTCAGCAGTTGTCTACCAGATATGTTGCAAAGGTGGGGACTGCAGTTACGTCGGGGAAACCGGGCTGAAATTGCCCACCGTAATGCACGAGCAAAAGCGGGCAATCCAGAGGCTACACTCAAAACCACAACTTGGGGCACATATTGAAGAAACTGACCACACTTACGACCTCCAAAAGGCGGCCATCTTAGGACAGTACAAGTTGCACCCAGAGGCGTGGTATTCAGACGCCAACTCTATCAACAGGCAGCTAGATCCTTCTGCGACTTATAAGGCCCCGCGTCATTTCATACATAAAGACCAGGACAAAGTGGCCAAACCGAACTTAGGAAAATCGAACAGACACGCGCCGAGACGAACTCACCCGAAGGGGGAGCGGAGTTCCAAGAACCCTCCATCGAGGTGAGGACGTACAACGCAAGCAGCCGTTAAGCCCCTCCCCTCCAAAGATCTGCTAAAGGGCTGAGACAGTAGATGAAGGGGCCGACTAACTTGGCCTAACTCATTTAAAATTCTGGACGATTTTCGACATTTAATGCTTTGAAGGTGCAGAGCCGACCAAGCTCTCTGAGACGTCGACAACACGACAAATTTGTTCTGGCCGGACCCAGCTGGTCATACGTCGGCGTCGTTGCGAGCCGGTTTGCGGATCAGTTGCGGAGACTCGGTTGTTAGGCCCTCTCGTAACGGCTAAACACCTACAGCTTGCGTGGTTTCGCGCCACCAAATAGCAGAGGGCAAAGCACACGGAAGAACAAGGGGGCGTGAAAATATCTACCCAGTTGAAGGCAAATCCACAGGAACTCTCAAAAAAGCAAAACAAGGAGAGGTGACTAATCCGGAAGCCGATAACTAACTACCCGCCAGCCAAAGCGATACGCGCATCCGGGTGCTGGTTAGAATCGCATAATTCGGAAAGGATATTTGGACTACCATCGGCTCTTGTAATGTTTCTTTGCGGCAAAACTGGCGGAGGTCGATTAGAGGGAGCAAGCCGAACTAACCGCAAATGTTCTAGGCAGTCGGCAGTGACGTCTACACTGGAGTCCTGATGAGGACATGAGAACCTGAACCGGGTGGAGGACTTTGATAGGAAACCCTCGGTCTCCGGAGAAAGTCACATGGAAGGCGATAAAGTGCGCTTCCGGATCAAAACATTAACGACGAAGGGAAGTGAATGCTGACGACGAAGGTTTGACTGTTCTAATCAACGGCTTCCACCGCTTATCCCGGAGAGTAGGTAAAGTACCGGTGTATGATTTTATGCTACCGCATACCTATGAATGTTCACGGCTCCTCCCTTCATCAGGAATCGTTGCACGTGTTGTGATGACTGTTTGACGGCCAACAGCTGCCGAACTACAATACCTCCGACGGGTCTTCAAAGCCAATGGCTACCCGCGCAACTTCGTCAACCAGTGAATACGTAAAAGGGACGAAAAGCCTAACCGCACAGACACCAGATTTTGGCGAGCGCTTCCGTATGTCAAAAACGTTTCTGAAGTTGTCGGCCGCCTTCTCGAACCACTTGGGGTTGGAGTTGCACACAGACGGGAGGCAAAGATCACGCGTCAGGTAATATAACCGAAAGACCCGCTGCCACGACTAGGAACGTCTGGAGTTGTTTATCGGATCTGGTGCAGTTGCGGACAAAGCAACTACGTCGGAGAAACCGGAAGACAGCTCCGAACGCGAATTGCGAATACGCTGCAGCGGTGCGGAGAAATGACATCAGCTCTCAAGTTGTGGCTCGTTCGACGAGATCCGGCCACACATTCAAATTCGACGAGGCCGAAATTCTCTCTAGAGGTGATAACCGCGTGAGCCGGGAGCTTTTTGAGTCATAGTTTACTGGCCCCCAGTTCATAAACAAGTGCAACGAACTTCCCCTTCCATACTCAGTGCTGAGACTTCGTCTAGCCGGAGTTATTGGCCACGCGGGAAGCGCACAAGTGAACACCTTTCCCAATACCAGGGTCGGTGGATCAGATGGTCGAGCAATCATCACACCAACATCAAACGCACAGAATGAGATTCCAGCAATTAACGACGCGAATGTCGGCCATCAAACAATTAGCACACCAAGTGCAACGATCCCTGATGAGGGGGGGGGGGCGTGAATATTCATAGGTATGCGGTAGCATGGCTACTGCATCCTATAAATACTGCAGCCCCTTATGCATGAACCACGCGTATCTGCTTTTTTGTCTCTGATGATGGATTCTAGCAGGAATCCGAAACGTCAGGCTAATAAAGCTCTTGTCCCAGCGATCGTGTCTCCTTCTTCAAGACTGCTCCCTGATACTCGTCTTTTCGCTTCTGTTGGCAAAGTTAAACGTCCGGTCTACGCGCGCCACACGCGAGCTGACTCTTACCACATGAACTGTAAGGGCGGCTCGGATCTCACGTCAATGAGGATGCCATGAAGGCCACATTAGGAAGGAGCCATTGCAATCCGACTCATTGAAATGACGCAAGAAAAACATATCCTCCATATTGGCCTCTTCCAAAAAGTAAATACCCGGAATATGGGAGCAGTGAAGTTTCTCCCTTCTTTAGAGGATATAGGGTGCACGTCAGTTCCAGCGCCCTTCCTTTGGGTTGACTCTTGCGGAAACCAGCAACCACAAAACAACCTGAGCTAACCCCCTAAAACGGCTGCATTCTGACAATAGCGTTCGCACCCACCAAAGGTGCTGAAACAGTCAAAAGCAGGACCGGCGGAACTTACCTCATATGTACATTTGCCGGGGATGACCTCGGCGACAAGTTCAGGCACTGTGAAGGTTTGGTCCACTATTGGCTCCCGCAATGAGCAGCGGACTTTCAAGGATCTGAAAAAAAGATGGCGATGTATAGTAGCTTTATTGTTAAGCGCCCGGAGGGCACGATCAATGCATGGTTGGCATTGATTTAAATTGCAAAACATAAACAATAGTCTCGGACCTGAGCTCTGCAGGAGCGACCAACTATTCAATGGAATTTGGACGAGGCGCTAAATAAAGTAGGAAAAGTTGCTGACGTCTTTCGTACACGATACCTATGCTAATAATACTCACAAATTTTCATAATTCACATAGCAGAAAACACACGGGGAAGGCTGGGGGACCCACTGATGAGCCGAACTCCTCGCAGCTGCGTCCGGCATCGATACAAGACCAGCGAAACACGCATGTCTGGGCTTGTAGCTAGTACCTGTGTTGTCGGTACGGTAAATAATCACACAATTCTATATTGCCGACTGCCTGTTGACGCTCTGTGAATATTACGCGATTATTCCGCAGTAGCTGACGGATTTCAGCTCCAATATTCATATCAAATTCCGGGCCGTGCCTGTAAAGGTCTGTTCCGAAGGATCTACTCCAAGTTCGCGCATTAATTTTCTCGGAAATTAAACAAGGAAAGGTGAAACGGAAGTTCATGTAGCAGAAAACACACGGAGAAGGTTGGGGGACCCACTAATGAGCCGAACCCCTCGCAGTTGTGTCAGGCAGCAGTACGAGATTATCAAAACACACATGTCTGGGCTTCTAGCTGGTACTTGTGTTGTCAGTGCGGTAGATAATTACACAATTCCAGATAAGAGGAAAAGAGGAGAAAGAGAAAAAGAGGAAAAAAGGAGGAAAAAAAGAAAATGAAAAAGAAAAGAGGAGTGAGGCCTTGGCAACGCATTGAAAAATCTCATGCACCCCAGCGGCTAAGACGGAGTCTTGATGAGGGCGAACGGCGACCGAAACAGAGGCGTTCAGAACGCCCGCGTCACGATGACCCCGACCATTTGCCAAGGAGATGAATCGAGGAGGACATCCGGTTCCCTGAAACTCCTCTCCGGCGATCATAATCCGTGAAACTATCACAAACTGACGCAACTGAAACCTGTTCACTTCGCACAGGCAGAACACTTTCGCCCTAGGATGGGTCCCAACCGATGACATCTCGAAATCTGATCAAGTGCCCTGTCGCCTGAGGAACGGTCAGGGACTCGAAAACCAACAAACATACAGTGAGCGTTATGCATCCAGACGACACAAGTGGTAAATTTGATTGGACGAATATCGGAGTGGGGACAGATGGGCAGCGACAAAGTTTGCTACCGCCGTCCCTTTAGACGCATTTAAAGCGCCACACTTTCCAAGGATTGGCCTCGAAATGTCGTATACATGTCGGGCGGATATGGCGGAGGCTGAACGGACCACCAGGAAAACGTACAACGTTGTTTCGAACTTAATGATATCCGACGGTTGTAGAGACATGAAAGCGGTGCAAGTCAGTCAGCTAGGATGGCATTATTTTGCCTTGGAGCCTCAGGCGGTTGGATGCAGTAGATCGAGCGGAAAGGGAAGTGAAAAGGCTGTAGTGGCCACCGCTCGCTAATTTGTCAAAAGGACGCGGCCTGGCGACCACACTGGCAGAGCATTTTCAACTCAAATGCTCGCTGACCAACACGCCGGGGACGAAATCATAATTCTACCTGATCTGGCTTAAGGGTGTGGATGACTGGCGACGGCTAGGATGTCAGAAATGGCCACCTGAATCTACGTTTTCAGGGGTAAACGCTCAAAGAGCAACTCACCCCGTGAGGCCGCAATAAAACCAGCCTGACTAGAGGCCCCTGAAAAGTTCCCTGAAACCACTCCGACTGCAAGTATGTCTCCAACAATTGGGCGATTTGAAAGTTAGATAGGGGATTCGCCAGGCCGAGACGATGAAAACAAAGAAATCACGCAGCCAGAGAGCGTACCTGTTGAGAGACAATTTCGTGCCAGCGGGTCCACAGACATAACCCGTCCGCCAAATGTGTGAATCAATCAGTATCTTACCGCTGACTCGCAAAACGAGCGCACTGTATTCAGCGCAACCACGTTGTTGGGCCTGTGGCAAAAACCCCCAATAGGAGGATGTACAGACATTTGTGTCGATCAGACGTCAGACAGGGGTACGGTATGTAACCACCTTGGGGCAGGGGGGGGGAGCGGCGGGCGTAATTAGCCACAAACCTAGCGTCAACCATGGTCATGCCTGCAATGGCAAATATTCAACCTGGAATCATGTAAGGAAGACTCGGGGGCAACTATAACCTTAAGTCAAGCCCTAAAACCCTAACCCAAGTTTGGCAATCCTAGTCCCAGAAATAATCCAACTAACACCAATTCCAACCGCTGCCCAAACCCTGAGCCCAAAACGTACAACTTTAGTGTCAGTAACGCTATCGGAGGCCAAAACCCGTCTAATGCATAACCTACCGCCAGGCAAACCGTTATGAAGTACACCTGAGTGAGGCTTTTATGCAACCATCCAGGGGTTACATACCCTACCCTTGCCAGCGATTTTAATGCGAGCCCTAATATGTGAGTTCAGGTCGGACGATTCGAACCGGCTTCATCGTAAATGCCTTCTGGTTCTGTGACCCCAACTGGATGTATCCAGATAGGTTCTCAATATATTTTAAGTACGGATGGACATTATGGAAACTATTCACGCTCTTTTCGAGGATGAGGTAAGAGTAACGTGGCAATAAGGTGGCATAAGTGTACAAATTAGAGGCGTTCGATAAGATTGTCCCATTGTGTGTCTATTGTTTTCTACAGTAGTCGGGGACATCGTGGCTCCCCGCCCCCACCGCAGAATTCCCTGTTCCCTTGGACAGGAGAAGTATGTAGGTGAGTGTGAATAGGATTGAGCATTCTGCGCAGTCCTATGAACTTGGCTTTTCGCTCCTGAAATATCCATTGGAGCAGAACTATCTAACCGCCCAGCCGGCAGTCATCTCATTTCAGTGCATGTCAAGCTCCAAAGATGTCCGACCCACACGACGCCATTTCGGTGAGTTTCTACAAGAGGCGGGGGTACCTTGGTTCACTGTGTCACAACGCACTCAATGGGTCTGTCCACCTCGTAGATACAGGTGGCATTCAAGGGCAATAAAACGTACGTTAGTTTACTATTACACGATGGAATTGGTGGAATTAGAGGTTTTCGGCTGACGACATAGCTCGGTCTCCAGCTAGGCACACGTAAGACTACAGCAGCTCCGAAATTCGGTACTTACGATAACCCTCTCCTCGTAAGCGATCCTGGACTCCTCGTTGAAAAACGGCCATGCACATAGCAGTGTCGGCTAAGACGTTCAATCGCAATGCCGCACGAAAGGGCTCCGAATTGTCCCTGGCATGAAAGCGGAAGGAGAGTATGGTTGACCGACGACGAATTTAGGGCATGACAATGCGTTGTTGAACTACCACGACGCGCTAAAAGTCGCGGTTTGGAACGTTGCCAGCTGACTGGATAACTTGACTGACCTTGGGGTTGAGTATCGAAATGCAGTGACTCCCCTCTAATGCGTTCCTTATGATATCCCCTCAGCAGGAGATTGAGGGCCCCTCTTTGAAGAGTGCCCCGTGAAGATTGAGGGAAACTGCTCGTGAGTGACACGCGCCGGCGGCGGCGGCTTTCACATCATGCTTGTCACTGCTTTCAGTGCCTTCACAGGTCACCTTGAGCCTGTGCTATCGTCAATTCCACCTCACTATACGTCCAATGAATGCAGAAGTCGTCGCTGCATGCTCTATGGCACAGCAGTGGTCTTTATTACTTCCGATGTACAAATTATAGAGGCAAGTAAAGCAAACTGACTCACAGAGGAGAAATCTCGCCCTCGATCGTGCCGTTTTTCAAGAAGACGGTAAAGACGGCTTTGCAATCTCCACTCGCTGCAGTTGCAGCCTTATTCTCACGAAATTGACCACTCGCTCCCTTGAACACGGGCACGAGTTTAGCGGGAGCCTTTAAGTGCGGGATTGGCAAGATTATCCTGAATATTTTCTCGGAAACCTCCCCGTAGACGGGGGCCTCCATGCCACTGGAAAAAAAAACGGGAAAAATGCCAGCTTAATACATCATAAATCTGGGATTTGGTGAATTGAAGAGAAAACTAGCAGATTAATTAGGTCGTCAGTCTGACGTAGGAGGCGCGTCGTGTGTTTTTGGTGATGTTAGCCTAGTCTTCCGTTCTGTTCATGGGCCTAACCAAAAAAGAAAATGTACGGAACAAATTCTGACAGTAGGAGTATCCAGCGTATAAATGAAAGTCGCTGAGGGATTACTGGGGGTAGAAGGTTGGACTCTTTAGGAGCAGTAGAAAAGTGCCCATGGCAAGGCCGCTTGCATAGTGCTGGGGTGGTCGGAAAAACGTTAATCGCAGCTTAAACGAGCCGCTTGAGACTAACTACCGGTAATGGCCGGGATCAAACAATTATGCAAGAAGGCAAAAGTGTGGAAGATTTCTGTGATTAGTTTATTTGCGGACGACAAAATGATTTTTCCGAAATCGTGCGAAACGCAGTTTCACCCGAACAAACACAATTGCCGACTTTAGACGAAAAAGATGACTTAGAAGCGAGAGAGCTGCACAAGTTGATGATGGGATCGCTCGTTTTCGAAAGTGAGCAAGGTTAGGCTGTCATCGGAAATGAACCAGCTGTTGCCGCCAAGATCACCTGCCTCACTCGCATCCTCTTTCTTCTGGGATGCCTTTCAATTGTCCGCATTAAATCCACCTAATTTCCCTCCGTATACTGGCCACCGCGTTCCGATGACAGCACGATGCCAAAACGATCTGAAATTGCAGTGGAGTGACCAAATCAAACATCCCAAGTACGCGCCACACACGACTAAGTGTTTAAGTCTAAACGAAACAAGCTTCAAAGGAGGAGGGGTCATTGGGGTCAAGTAGACACCGTAAGCAACCATTGCAAGTCGACCTGAAGTTGTAGCGTATCGTGCCAGCTAGAAAACTCTCAACCCATGCATTTTAGCGCGGCGTGGCCTGCTCTAACCTGTCGGCTGACTGGTAATAAGATTGGGGGCGATTGCTGATATGGCGTGAGTCCCCGTCCAACGTGTGTCACAGGCATGCACTTCAACAGTTAAAGCGCCACACAGACTTAGTATGGAAGAAGATGCGATCACAGGAACAAGAAGTTTATTGACCTGACGCATCAGATTCTCACTTGAACACCTCATCAGAGACGGTTGCAGATAAAGGTGGTGGAGACACAAAGATTGAGTATTTATAGGAAGTAGCTGCCGTGGGGCGACATGCGCACTATAATTAACAGCTCTCGTAATCACTGCTGGGGGTCGTAATTAAGGCGATGATGGCTCGTCAGTCCGCGCCCGAGACGTTAGTTGCCGCAATTTCATCATCCGTGTTGGATGTTGACGTGAGGATCACTCGGCAACTTGGTCCGCTGTCACCAGGATAGTTGAGTGCCCGCGCCCTCCATACGTGATTGATTCCACTTCTCAGGGAAATTCTCATCGCCGGATATGGTGCCGGGAGGTCATTGCGCTTGCTGATGGATTGCGGGCCCGAAAACCACGATTCGAGCAGCCAGCGGCTCACGAGGTTGTCAGTTTTTGCGAGCATTTCGGTCTCTTGAAACTTAAAAAATATGGCCGGGTTCTGTGGAATGAGCTGCCACCGGAAAGCTGGCGTCTTTCCTCCTCCTCACCGCTGCTGCGTGCTCAATCATGCGCGTCCGGAGTAATCTCCCAGTTTATCCGAAGTAGTCGTTCTGTCCGCAGCTGCACCAGATCCAGCAAACAACTCCAGACGTCTTCTGTCGTGGCAGCGGGCCTTCCTGCCTCGTGACTTGGCGCTTGATGGTTGCTTCCGGCCTGTCTACAACCCCCACTCCAAGTGGAGTGAAAAAGCGACAAACGACTTCTGAGACGTCCTTCACGTACGGACGCGCTCGCAAAAATTTGGGGTCGGTTGGATTTGGTCTCTGGTTTCGCCTGCGTAAGCATTGGTTTGGTTTCTGCATATCTCACTATAAATCAAATCAGGCGCAAGTCACTGTGCCTGCCTAACTTTGCCGTGGAGCACGCGGTGGACAACGAAATTTTATTAGTTAAAATAATCTGTAAAGAGTGTGTTCTACCTCTTATTGGTCTCATTATCAACTCACAGGGTTGTGGTTTCTAAACTGACTGAAGCGTGGACTTCGAGCGGCTGTCTTTTTCCAACTCTTTTTGCTGAAACATGTTTACTTGGACGAAATTATTCCCTATTTGAGTTTAATTAGCCCAGGAAACATCTCTGTAATGCATTGCACACACTCCAAATAAATCCGTTACTGGGCGCAACATGCTTCTATCTACCGTTACCGCACTCACCTTAGTAAATAACATCCATAGCATACATAAAGTCATTAAAAGACGATGCGATCATTGGAAGAAGAAGTTTATTGGCCTGACGCTTCGGATTTTCATTTGAACCAGAGACAGTCGCAGACAAGCCCAACTAAAGCGTGCCACGAGCCAGTGTGGTTCTTGTTTTCGTTCCAGCCATGGGGGCGCAGTTTTCGCAAATACTTTCTCAAACTACTTTTTTGGGCTATCAGTGCCTTTTAAGGTATTTGCACCGACCTTCTTCGTTATGGACGGCTAGAAGAAACGGATGATGACGCGGGAAAGAGGAGACAGGGAGGGATGAGCACTCTCAAAACACGGTCAGTCTGGCCTGAGGAAAGACTGGATGATGAAGGCGAAACGGTGAGAAACGACTATCCTAGTTTCACTTTACGATCGATGCAGCCTTTTCGTCCTTCAGTGACTTAAAACGCGGAGTCCGTAGGATTCCGACGTATTCAATAACGACCGCAGGACTATAAAATGAAAACTCTGTGGAATTTTATGTGGCCTAATGAGATACTGAAGCGTGTAGATACACACACACACACACGCACAAACGCGTACACAGACACCTACCCGAAAAGTCCACGTCGGGAAGGCAACCGAAGAAAATGCCACACGAGGTGTGCTAACCGAAAAACAGTCCAAAGTACGTCAGCAGTATGGCGACAGCGCCACCTTTCAAAGCGCGTTGTACCCCGGAATTTTCGGCAGGCTGAAAACCCCGACGGTTTTTCGGCCTGTTTCGAGTCCCGTGCGGCTGACAGGTTTCTAAACGATAATATGGAAGGGGGTTAAAGTGTGGGTGACCGAATGAACTAGAAGATAAGGCGTAAGATCCAGCGAGATGGAAATCAATGGGGGTCTCCACAGAAATGATTGTCCTGAGTATAATTTTTTGCTTTTTGCGCAAATATCTGGAAGTATGTGCCGCCGAACCACTGTTTGCGTCTCAAACATACTGAATAAAAAACGGCCTCGCTTGTGAGTCGTAGTTGAGTCTCCAGCGACGGACTGCGGAAGCAGCAAAAACAGAGGAATGTCCAAAACTGGACTAATTTCAGTACGATGGAGAACATGGGATCTTTCGGACAACAGTCGCATTAACTCTGGCTTTCTGACTCGTATAGGAGCCAATTCGACTAGCATATTTGTCTCCCTTCGTATTACCAATACATTTAAAGGTATCAGTGAGTGGATGACAAGCTACGAACATCTGCAGAACTTGACGTGACGACTGGACAAAAAGTTACCAAATGAGCTAACTTGTCCACTGGCGCTTCAAACGTCAGAGTATTGAAGAGCGTCTACGCGAACATAACAGTTGTCAGTTAAAAGCGTGAACACTTTTAAGTATAACAATGGAATGGGCACACACCAATTTACCTGAAATCTCAAATAAATCTGACTTCAGCTGCTGTTGGTGGTAAAATGTGTAATGGGTCGCCACCTGCTAGATACAACACTTAGCAAAAGGATCGTGACTGGAAAAAACGGCCGACATTGATACAACAGCTGCTGTGGGCTAATTCGACGGTCATTTTAGGCATTCCTACAATCGGAAGACTTAGTACTCCTGCCTGTGACGGCATTCGACATGATTGATGCAGCCGGCCCCGTGTTGCAAGCTCGCTGCATCATGAGTGACTGCCTACAGACTGCGACAGACTACTGATCGAAGCTGAGTCAGCTGGCATACAATTCCCGCAGGCCGAAAGGCCAGATATGCGTTTTAAGTCAGTACTTACCACGTCCTTAGGAAACCGCCACGACACCTTTGTAGCTGATACCGGGTTTTGGTAGTATAATACTGCGTAGAATCTCATCAGTGTAGAAAATAGACGAGCCTGTGTAAATATGATGGGCAGTTCACGTTAGTAACCCTACCTCGGCCAAATACTTTATCCTTACCGGTCTTTCCGACACTTCATGCAAATCGGTGTGTGCTCATTGTACTTTTATAGTTAAAAGTGGACAGACTTTAACTAGCAGTTCTTGTGTCGCAGGAAGCAGTCTCGCAGTCGGAAATATGATACACCAATATCCTGTGTTTTGAAGCACTGGCGAACGAACTAGCTTATTTGATAACTTTTTTTCAGCCGTGACGCTAAATCCAGATGCTTTTCGTTTGCCATCCACGCGCTACCACCTTTGGAGCTACTGAATATACGAAATGATGCGAATATGCATTATTCCGGCTAAGCTAGGCTGTGCGTACTGAATACAAGAGTGAGCGGTTTTTCATTGTCAGGCCCGAGTAAGATCCTCTGAATTAATTTCACATATTGGGTCTCAAAAGAGAGTCCACACTTGATGCGAAAGAACCTCAAAAATATATCCGTTCATTTAGGAAGGATGACTTAAGTAGCTTAGGTGTGCTCGTGGGTGTTATGCTATCACAGTCAAAGAAGAGACTGCCAGTTCAAAACCTGAGTCGACACTTCCAGTCATGACATGAAAATGAATCTTGCATATGCCGTTTTGTTGCTGAAAAGGAGAATGGGCCAAATCAAACCGATCCGCTAGCACTGATCGTTGAAGACAGCCGGAGAAGGCATAATGAAAACCGCTTAGAGTACAAACAGTATGACTGACAGGAGGTAAAAAGACCGGCTGGCAGTACCGAGTCATGAGCATATCGGATACGTACGACATTGGGATGGGAGAGCACCAACCAAATAAACCGGCCATATTACTGATTTAAGAGAACAGTTAATAAGCCAAAATGACTCGTAAGAGCCCACCAAAATGTCAGGATAGTTCAGTAACCCTTGATATTTGATGAAAAGCATGAACCAAGCCGACCAGACCCGGCGCCTAACAAGTAGCCATTCAGAAACGGCTATCGAGGTCGAATAAAAGAAGCCTAATCAAAGCTGAACCAGACAAGTTATTTTCATCAATAGTAGTGAAAATCCGATTCCCAGGTGGCATATCAAAAGAAGAGTGGGCGTTCACCGGGAGGGGTTTATTTGGGATCCGACGTTTCGGGTAGTTTACACGTCTACCCATCTTCAGGGACTGGGAGGTCCTGTGCACAGCACTCCTTATTATGGCGCCCTTTGTCCAATGCGTGATCCGCCAATGCCGCCTGTGTGGCTGCATCCAACCCGCATGTCACCGTGACCTGAATCGCCCCCGTCGGCCGCGGTGATGACTGACGGCCCCGATTGTCCCGCGCCGTGACTGTCCCCCGCTAAGAAGGTTCGTAAAGTCAGATAAGGGGGAGGCAAATTGATGTGGCGGTTGACAGAGCGGTCGGTGGACATCCAGGCTTCTTGCACTTGCCTTGCTGTGTGATCGCTGCCTCGGCCCACATTCTCAACGGCGTCAAAGTTGAAGATGTGTCCCATTTGCGCGGCATGGGTTGCTACCTCCGACTTTGGGTCCAACCTTCGCACGGCCAACTTATGCTCGTGCATTCGCGTTTGCAGCCGTCGGCCGGTTTCCCCAACGTAGTTGCAACTTCCGTAGCTGCATTGAAGTCGGTAGACAACGACCGACATCTCCTGCTTAGGGATCGGATCTTTCGGCCGCATCACTTGCCGGCGGATTGTTGAGTCAGGCCTGTGGGCAACACCTATTCCGAGTGGCGCGAGTGATCTAGCCACGACTTCGGAGACCCCTTTAATGTACGGAATGCTCTGCCACGAGTTTGGCTGACTATGCTCCTCGTTCCGTTTCTTTGGCTGCCTCCGGCTTCGTTCAATGAATGCCCGCGGATAGCCATTGGCTCTGAAAAGTTCTCGGAGGAGCTTTATCTCATTCAGTTTGGCGGCTGGCGTGCTGCAATGAGTTTCCACCCGTCGTCGGTACAGCGTGCGGACACAGCTTCGTTTGTGTTGTGGCGGGTGGTTGCTGTTGTAGCTGAGAATTTGCAGCGTGTTCGTCGGTTTTCTGTAGACCGACGTCGCTAGTTCGCCATTTGGTTGGCGGCAGACGAGAACATCCAAGAATGGAAGTTTGTCCTTGACTTCCTCTTCCATCGTGAACTGTAGATCGGGCATGATTGTGTTTAGTACTTCCGCATAGTAGTTGGTTTTATCCTGGTCTATGATCCCGAAGGTGTCATCAACGTAGCGTGCCCAAAACTTGGGTTTGCACTCCTCGAATAGTCGTCTCTCGATTTTTTGGAGAACCGCCTCGGCAATGAGTCCGGAGATTGGTGAACCCATCGGAGTGCCCTTGATCTGCTCGTACGTGGTCCCTTCGAAGGTAAAGAATGTCTTAAGGCAGTGTCCCATGAGTTCTATGAAGTCCTGAGCTGTGGGCTGGCCATCGCCCCCGTCGTAATTTTGACGTAGCAGGTCACTGACTTTACGAACCTTCTTAGCGGGGGACAATCACGGCGCGGGACAATCGGGGCCGTCAGTCATCACCGCGGCCGACGGGGGCGATTCAGGTCACGGTGACATGCGGGTTGGATGCAGCCACACAGGCGGCATTGGCGGATCACGCATTGGACAAAGGGCGCCATAATAAGGAGTGCTGTGCACAGGACCTCCCAGTCCCTGAAGATGGGTAGACGTGTAAACTACCCGAAACGTCGGATCTCAAATAAATCCCTCCCGGTGAACGCCCACTCTTCTTTTGACAAGTTATTTTATTTCCTCTTTCACTATGAGACTTACGCAACCTCAGATTCAGTAGAATTAATAATAACAATATTGTCTAACCAAGTTCAAGTTTGTCTTCACGGCACCGCCAATAATTGCCGATAAAAGGCAGCTTGAGATTTGTTCTGGTAAATGATAACCTTCCCACTCGGGCGAGCTTTCACAGACCAAGATGAGCAACGTTCAGAACTCCCTTATGAAACGCAGCTCTACCGGGACGATATAAACGAAATGTTTTAGGAACTGAGACGTAACAATATAGCCACCACATTTATGAAATGATCATGCCTTCTGTTAAAAATCACTATGGCAGTCAGAAAATAGGCGACACGTTGGCTCCCGTAAGATATTTCCCGTCATCAAAAGAGAACCGGTTTTTTTCGTCCGGAAAATTATGACACCGGTCATATTAATAACGCTTAGCAACATAATAAACATCTAATTCCTAACGACGATAACGTGATAGTCCGCACTTAAAGTCTTTCCTGGTGACATTCCTGGTGTTAAAGTCCAACAATACGGTAGGTGACCGGTCTCAAGGAATGTAACCGAAATAGTGAAATGCGTTTTGGATTAGGAGGGATTATCTAAGTGGGGCTGTAACATTGATTATCATTCAGCATAAACCCATGATACTTCAGACATGGCAGGGTTCTGGCTTTTGGATGCACTTTTTCGAACTCTCTTGGCGACCGCGCTCAGCAAAAAATGACTACCTGAGTAGCATGCACTACTTCTATTTATTTTCGCAGCCGCTATAAATTCAAATATAATTTGTAGAAAACATGTCTAAAAATATTCCCCCTAGTACTCATTTGGTAGCTAATAATTTCTGTAAATGCTATGCTCAAGGGAAGGGTGCACTTAAATATGAGATTTTGTTACGACCGTTTCATATGCATTCAAGCACGATCGTGTCCGCCCATATCAGTTGTAAAATTTTATGAGCCCTATATGGTATCTTTCGAATAGTATGGAGGAAGGTATGACTCTCTCCGCACTGAAAGTATAAAGCTCGTAGACTAAAAGCCTAGACGCAAATGGAACGGTTAATCGGGCTCAAAAGTATTCGGGGATCGAAAAACGTTTTAAAACTCAAATATGTCCATACATTGGGTGAAACTATTGGATAAGTTATTTACTACCAGATAAGCACAATAGAATATTTTTATGCATGCCTTCTAGAAACTGCATTCCAGTTTATGCGAGCATCGAAAATCAATGGAAATAGTGCAAAATACTAACGTAGCGATTTTTTATCGGCGGCAGAAACAAAGTGCACTGAAAAGCCAGAATCCTAGGGCGTCCGAAATATTGTGGGATTCTGCCGCACGAGAATCGGTACTACAACCCCACTTAAGTAATCCTTCCTAGTCGAAAACGCATACCACAATTTAGGCTGACATTTAATGAGACCGGTTACAGACTGTAATATGCCCTCAACAAACTAGGACTGTCGCGGGGAGTTCGAAGAGAGCTTGGTTCATGAGGTCCGGTTTTACGACTTCGCTTTTATTTAGCGCGGAAGCTTACAGAGAAACATTAAATTTGGATCAGACTTTCTGAATGAGAAGACGTTATTATGCATTTTGTCAACCGTCTACTTATGACCCTAAAGTAAGGGGGGCAAGTTCCGTAACATGTGCTGGGATCTCTTCTAAGTCCGCGGTCGTGTCGTCGAAAGTTTAAATATATCATCATTGTGACATCCATACAGATACGAAGAGGTCGAATATAACAACTGAAGATGATTTCCCAATGTCCCTAGGTATCAGCTGAAACAGGATGTGGGAGTAGTATGATTTACGCGAGGCGTGGTGAGTATACGCATAATTTGAATTAAATTGTCGGGTGGTAACTTGCGCATGACGCTTACGAATCGCACTGCCCGGGACGTTCGGGTCACAGTACGCTTAAAAACTGACTTCTGTGGAAGACGAATGGGGTCATGCGTGAACAGCTGGTTTGGCGGTCAAAAGCAACCCGAAACTGTACGGGCGCCTTCATGTTGCGGACTTCGTGACAACAGGTCGACAGCCCACATCCAATGCATCCGCGGTCGAATTGTCATCAAACCAATGAGGCGATCTATCAGTATCCGAGATGACTTCCTTGAAGTCAATGGATAGCTGTTAGAACCTGATAACAACAGCAGCAGCCAACCAATCTAGATTGATTGGCCTCTATGAAGCCGAACTCGCTCGGTGTGCAAGATTCGTAAGGGCAATTTTACGATTTTGCAAATGTTTGAGACACTACTTGTGGCCAGTTGTAAGGGATAGAGACGTTGCAGCGTCAATATGGAGACGAGAATCCGAAAAACGAGGACAGCTGACCTGGGACGGAAAAAGTCGACTCGTCCGTTTTGTCTGCAGCTCAGTCTAACAAACCGTCCGTTCCTGCTTAGGGCGACAGAAAACGAAGGGACTGTATACATCTAGCCACCATCGGTAGTTTTTGCTAAAACATTTGCGCAAAGGAAAAATGTGTGGAAAGAAACTCTGCATTACCTTTGACGCAATTTTTTCACGTTTACAGGATAAAATGTATTTTCTCCTAGAACGTCGGAAAATTATTCCTTGGTTCCAACCTTGATATCGACCCTTGAATTACACATTTTTCAGAGAACGGAGTCTATACTTGGTTAATAGTCTAATTACGAAAGGATTTAGGTCGTTTGCTCATTCCTTTGTAGACTCAGCCCCCTCTTTGCAGTCATCTAAAGTGCAGAATCTTCTATATGTGGGTTTGTTTCGTGACATGGGCTTGCGGCTGCTTAACGGCTGCAACCGCCGTATATGAGGCAGCTAGAATACTCATCGTACCATGGAGTTCAAATGACAGTACCTCAAGTGGTACTTAAGAAAGCCAATGGCGCAACAGTGTGATTCGCAGCGAACCAAGAACAACGATAACAAAGTTTAATCCTGTCAGTATTCAGATACAGGCGCAGTCTTCCCTTAAAGTTTGTAGATTATTTGGTGATCTTATAGTTATTCATTTGTTACTCGAAAGTACCAAACCATTCAAATGTCCATGCTGCCCCCGTCCACACACCATCCCGAATGCGAACGATGCAATCATCACGCGGCTAAAAGAAATTTTGCCATAGCAGACACATGCTGCTGCATGAAAATTTCAAATGTTCAGACACTGAGTAAGGAATGATTCGCTGCACGCGATCGGAACACTCCTGCGAGCAGAAATTTATTTATTCATCACCAATGAGTCCCTTGGAAACAGGTAAAGCTCGACACGCGATTCCGAGACAAGAAGCAGTCAAGTCTTTTTTATATCATCATTATTAAGCAGGATGGTTGCAATTCCGGTTTGTGTTCTCACACGATCGTTAGCCGAATCAACTAGTGCGTTCTCTTTTGGGAATAAAGGCATGTTTCTGTACCAAGGTCCGAGCTGTTGACGACAAAATGTACGAAAAGGGGAGTATGCTCGAACGAAAAGATCTAATAGTGGGCTTAGACTGGCACGTAGCACAAACATCTGATCCATAAACCGAATGTTCCTTCTTCTTCTTCTTCTTCTTCTTCTTCTTCTTCTTCTTCTTCTTCTTTTTCTTCCTCTTCAAGGGCTTAATGTAGTGTTTTGTATAAATCTGTTGCTTACTCAAGAGGCCAGAGAACGCAAAGTTAGAGATAAAGAAGAACCTTAGGATGGAAGAAATTCGTTGGAAGAGTACGCTGGAGACCGACGAGATATTCTTCGGAAGTTGCCTTCGATGTTAAGATTATCACTAAGGATATTAGCCTTCGTAAGATAGACTGGGTTCCAGATATCTGCCAACCTAGATTCCAGCCCTACCATGATATTTGCAAGTTTTCAAACTGGTCTCAGCGTGTGCGCTCCTTAACAAGAGATGATCAGCTTTTAGATGAATACTTACAAATGAAATGGATCCTCTTCTTGTTGCTTTCAAAAAGGACCTCTTTGATGGTGACCACGTATTAATTCATTGTTGCTTACCGCTTGCTATTTCATAAAAGTCCAGCACGATTCCAACTTGCTTAAATCACGATCGCGTGGATAATGACATACTAAATAAGTATATAAGATTAATGAATTGTTGCGGCTTTCTCTCCTGTAGTGGTGCAACCATTCTTCGCGACGTCATGTTCACTGTTTCGAAGGACTTCCTAGAGTTTGTGCTGCGTAGATATCCCAAGGTTAATTCTGCGGATCATCGTGCACAAAACCCCGTCTCTAACAAGAGACCTTGGAAGGATGATTTTGAATGAATTTTTTTATTTTTCTCTAGCTAATCAGCAGGAATTTTTGCCTGAACGATTCTGCGAAATTTGCCACTTGGATCAACGTCATCAAGGTCAAGGCGCGCAGCTCAATTTCAAAGATATGTGAAGCTTTGCATTTACTTGGATATTCTTAAGCAATTTATGCATGTTTTTTTACTTGAGTCCCTTTTAAAAGTCGCCTTTCAATATAAGGCATAGTTTTCCAGTTTTGTTTGACAGTCTGGCAAAATAGTCGTATTTTGTAGAAAAACCTTTGCAGTGACTCCGTTCCCGACTATCTCTTTCTAGTTTTCGTAGTAAAATAACAGTATTACTTGCTATTCAGTGCGTATTTCTGTACGTTAGCAACGTTTTACTCCTTTTACTGTAACGAAAAACTTATCTTGTCTTTAATGCCCCGCAGAGCACGGGCTAAAAGACGAAAGCTTGCTGCCTCCCCACTGTCTCCGGGTGCTAGAATCGCAAACGAAGACATAGTAGTTACCAGCATATGTTCTTCGCCATCTGCAGATAATGTGAACTCACAAATCCCTTTAGTACATGTAGAACCTCTTGACCCTTCAATCGTCCAAAAATACGCCTCTGCTAGTCGTAGCAGGCCATCAGCAGACGAAATAATTGATCAGTTGATATATGGCGACATAAACAGTACTTCTGAAAAAGCTTTTAGACTTATTGAAGTAATAAGTTCTGGAAGTAAGAAGAGAATTAAACGCAAGCATAATTTCGTACTGCGAAACATTCAGAGCCACATATCTGCTATAGAGGGAGCGCATTTGTTCCTGCAAAGTTGTGGTTTGAATTTCAGTGTCGCACAAGCTAAACGACTGCGCTCGCTTAGCCGTAATGCGCCGGTCCTAGTTACCCTTTTTTCCATGATAGATGTCGATTTTATCTTGTCAGGGAGGGAGATAACTAGAGAATTCTGCCGTAAATGGTGCTGCTCCGTTTCGCCAGACCTCACACCGCTGCAGCGAAGACTGAATAAATTAAAATCGGCAAAAACCAACACCAAGATAATGATACCTACTGTCAGTTTGAATAAGTCCTTTACAACACTATCTTCGGCCTCTGCACGTCACGACATAGTCAAAACCGTAGGGAATTCGACTATTATTGATGCTGAGATCTTTAGAAGCAACAACACGCCTGGTATACAAACGCCCCTAACGACTCCTACAGAAACCCCTAGTAAGCTTAAGCATGTGCCTAAGTCAACGGCAAATCCAATTGCTGTCTCAGCCACTCCGACACCCCATAAATCCAGCCCCATTATAAAATCTTTTCCTCCACCATCGGCTAACAGTGCCTCAAACACCCCGACTGAAAACGTAGCTTGTTCCCACCTGCCCTCAGCCCTCATATCGAGGCAGTTACGCCGAATATGTCGATTTTCCCGCCGTTTAATAGAACTCTTGCTTTAATGGAAACAATGCGTCCCCCACCCCCTAATTTGTTTCCTCCACGGCCGTTTTATCAATGTATTCCTCATGCCACTGTCCATACTGAATCAGTTAACTCATCCGATCCTCAGTTTAGTTTCGACGGGAATATGTTGCAGTATCTGGCCCACGGATTTCCAGCCGAAAATGAGTTAGCTATCAATGGTTACCAGTCTACCTGCCCGTAATTCCCTCCCCCAAATACTACCCCTTTTTATCCACGTCAGAATTTTTTGTTGCCAAAATTTTTTTGCAGAACCGTACGGTTACATCCGGTCCGTTTGCTGCGTGAGCAGCCCATAACTGGACGATGTAGCCTACCTCCCTCAGAAACTAACAGCCTTTCCCTTCAAACTTTTTGTTTTAAATGCCAGATCCTCTCTTAATAAGATGCCTTTGCCTCAGACTCTGGTGTTCGTCCATTGTCCGGATATTGTTTTAGTAACTGAGACTTGGAAATCAGCCTCAGTAGCTGATTCCAGACTCTCACTTCTAGGCTATAATTACATCGGAAATGATCGTCAGGATAGCCGTGGTGGGGGCAGTTGAGTCTACGTTAAGCAAACGCTTACATTTTTGCCGCTTGACCTTCCGCACTTTTACGCAGTAGAAGGCAGCAGATGGCTTCAGGTTTCTCTAAAAAATAAGTTCTCCTTACTCGTTGGCTGTGGTTATCATCCTCCCAACGCCAACGACAATTATAATCGTTTACTTTCACAGGCTCCAGCTTTAAGTATCAATTGGTTGCGGGTGACTTTAATCTTCCCGAAGTCCGCTGGTCTCCGCATTCATGCCAAGAAGGTTCGAAGACTTTCTTGAGACTGTGGATGTTGGGATGTGGAATCAGGTTGTCGATTTTCCCACCCGAGGCTCAAGTATACTTGACCTAATTTTCTATAGAGGCTTCGTGCCATCGTCAGTGTCATCCCTAGGCCCACTCGGGGGCTCAGAACATGACATAGTTGTTTCAACGTTGGAATTCGAGGCTGACAAAACGTCTTCCCCAAAGTGTAACCTTTTCCGCGATTTCCGATCAACTCGCTCAACCGAATTATTAACACACCTTAATTCCTAAGACTGGACTCATTTCTTCCTTAGTTCGGATGTAAATGTTTGCACTACAAATCTGTACGAAATTTTGGATCCGCCTATTTCTCGTTTTGTCCCCCGTAAGAAATTTATTAATGTTGGGGATGAGGTTTTCGTACCCTTACCCTTTCGTCGCAGATTGCGCAGACTTTATCGTCGTTTACATCTTCAGAACGATGTTTCTGTTCTGCCCTTGATTTGTGATATTATTGAGCGGGCTAAGAGATTGTCTGACGAAAATAAGCAAGCCGAGGAGATCCAGTTTACCGAAAACCATTCGTTAAATGTCTCGAAACTTTTCTCTAGAAAAATACGAACTCACCGAAAGACGCAGCATCCCATCCTCCGAGACGCTCTCGGAAATCCCATAGTTGATGCCCAGTTAACCGCTGATAGCTTCAATGATTTCCTGTCCAAAACGTTTATTGAAGACTCGACCACTCCGCTTCCGACCATCCAGTCATTGACCGGGGCAGTTCTAGAAACTATAACTTTCACTCTGTGGGATGTGACTGTTGCGATTCGGCGTCTTCGTCAATCTTATAGTCCAGGACCTGATGGTGTCCCAGTAAGCATTTTAAAAGCCGATGCAAACACGATTTTCCCATCTCTCTTATGCAAGATATTTAATCTCGCTC